CGGGCGCGCCTTAGATCACCATCGCCGCCGCCGGCAGAGGTGACCGACAGCACGGACGAGGACGACGTCGCGGCCCAGAGCCCGCCGCCGCTGCCGCCGCCGCTGCCGTCCTCTCCCGCTGCGCCGCCCTGCGAGAACGACGACGAGCCGCTTAGCCCTCTTCCCCTCGACGCGAAACCAATGCCGCCACTACTACCGGCGGCGGACGAGTCGTCAGAGGCCTTTCGCCGCCTAAGGAACGGGGGCCGTCCGGAGGACGACCCCTCTTCCTTCTGCTTCTGCTTCTGCTTCTGCTTCTTCTTGCTGCTGCTCCGGCGGCGGCCGGCGGCCGTGGCGAACGCGGTGCGGAGGACACCCCGACGCCGCCGCGGCTTCGGCAGCTCCTGAAACCCGGACTCGAATTCGGACCCGAACGCGTCGTACCACTTCGGAAGAAAAAGAGACGCGGCGAAATAATTCAGCGATACATTTCAGTCATTGGGGGTTTGATGAAGTAACGTGACCTGGAGCAGCGTGGTCCTGTTTGATGACGTAGAGAGCAAGAATGTTGGTGTCCAAAACTGCGTCGGACCACCTGAAGGAGTAGAAAATGATGAAAACTAATACTATAGTGCGCATGTACACAGCGGGATTGCAGATATGCACCAAGATCCAGTTTGCTAGCCTTCGACCGTTCTGGGACGGCACACAAACAAACCGCTTTCGCGCAACAGAAGCACTGCACATTGACAAGATCTACCCACCACCACTGTTCACACGCATGTGCTCGAGAGTCGTGCCGGCGGTGATGGAAGCATTGTAGCGACACAAACACCCCACAAATCAAAATCAAACAGAGCAGGCATTGCGTGGCACACCAACCTTACCATCACCCAAAAATACTTGAACTCCTCAACTACGGCATTTGATTTTACATCAATTTGATTTTACATCAATTTCGGTGCTATTTTCTAACTTTAATTCGTTACTTTTATTTACTATATTGGTACTGACTAATACCTAAATAACCTATGATTAAAAAACAAACATTTTTTCATTCGTATATTAACACCAACAACAACAACAACAACAACAACAGGGCCAAACACACCTCATCCTCGCTCCCATCGTCGCCATCGCCGTCCTCGTCGCTGCTGCTACCGCTCCCGCTGGCGTAACCCCCGCCGGAGCCCGTCCCGTCAACGCCTCCCCCGGCACCAGCGCTTGCACCGGAGTTCATGTCCGCGAGGCGCAACACCTCTTCCGTTACGCCCCACACAAGGGCCATGGCGTCTTCGGTGGCATTGAGGGTCACCGGTTCGTTGGCACCAGTCACCTTCTCGCCCTATTGTGCACAGAGAAGGGAAAGAGGGGGCGGGGGCGGGGGCGTGCTCTTATGTTTTGCATGTCTTAGCGGCGAGACCATTGGCCACGCGTCCTCGAGAGAACGGAGCAGGGGAAACGGGGAGTGAAAATCGTGCCTTTTGGATGCGCACGAGACGTACGCGCATACAACTGGTGCACACGCAGTTGTACGACAACGGAAAAACGCGCAAATGACACCTTCAGCAGCACAAAGTGAACGTGTAAGCTACCGCGTGACAGACCCTGGTACCCAGTAGCAGATTCTTCATCGCAGCAAAAACCCCACGCAACCTCTCCGAGGAGGAGCCGTTCTTCCCCCACGCCGTCCGAGAAGGGGGGGGGGGAGCTACGCAGTTTGCACGAGATAACTCACGGGGGGGGGGGGGGGGGGCCCCCCCCCAACCCCCTTGCCCGGCCCGGGTCTGGGAGGTTTTTCCAAAGGGAGGCCCCCCGGGGGCCCCCCCCCTCCGGAGGGAGGG